GGAAAAATCCAGAGGAAAAAAGGCAAAAATGTTTATGCCTTTATTTATAAAGCTGAATGAGGGCTAGGTAAACATAAACTCAAAAGTGGATGCAAACATTCCTAAGTATTTGAAAAGTGCAAGTATAAACAGTAGGTAGAGATGCTTGAATGTTTTGCAAGGTCTGTGTACCTAGCAATAATGTTTGAAAACAGAGGATGCAGAAGGAATAGAGATTAAAATTAGGAACTTGGCCGTTATCATATGAAATAAGCCTTTCACAAGAAAAAAACACAGGATAGCTCCAAGTTTAGATAAAACACTGCACGGTATATACTAGGGAACAATCGGTAAAGGGAGGTTGGATAGATGAGGAAGAGTCATCTTCTCCTAATCGTGGTACTTAGGAGCGAGTAGCGACCATGATAACCATTACTACATGTGTTGCATTTGGTGTTAAACTGATCATTTGTTAAACTTCTGCCTTTCTGTTTTTATTTCTAGGCCTTTTCCTTATCTTAGGCTTGATACTTTACCCTGCAGGTTGGGGATGCCAGAAAGCAATAAGCTATTGTGGACCTTATGCTTCTGCTTACAAACTAGGAGACTGCTCCTTGGGCTGGGCTTTCTACACCGCTATTGGTGGCACTATTCTGACGTTCATCTGTGCAGTCTTCTCGGCGCAAGCTGAAATAGCCACATCCAGTGACAAAGTGCAAGAAGAAATAGAAGAAGGAAAAAACCTTATCTGCCTCCTTTAACTCCAGTGGGGAAAAATATCAGTGCCTGGATCTTAATCTGCTTTCCATTGACTGGACAAGCAGATCTGCTTACCTGTTTCTACCACTTGTGTGATGGAGCCCCATGCATTCCAGCCCTGAACTACTGAAATGGTCTTCCTTCCTTGCTAGGCGACAAGGATCAGAGAAAGGATCCCAAGAAGGCAGAATGTAAATACTTGGGGATTTTTTTTAGTTTCATTCTATGATCAGGACACAGTGGAATATATTAATCTGACTGGGGAGGTGAGGAATCGTGTATATAGCAGGACTGTTGTTGTTGTAACTGACAAATTCGGATTGATCGGATTGCCTTACCCACCTTGGTCACTTTGAACAATTTGGATTTAAAATAATAAAAGCCAGCACATTTTTTTTTCTTATACAAAAGAGAAGCCTATTTTAATTAGGCTTTGTTTCCAAGGGCTCCCTTCACCCATGAATATTCACCACCACCTGGTTTGGTGCTTTTTGATACTGAACTTCCTTACAGTACAGTGCCTTCTCGGATAGTAAGTGTATGTATGTTGGATGTGATGCAGTTTACACCAATCTTTAAGCATTTAAAAAGTTGAGTCCCTGCCAGGTTTCTTTGTCTTGCAACTTATAGTGCAAGGTGTGTGCCACTTGTTACTTAGCAGGTAAATGATTTTGTTTCATTGACCAGACAGAGGAGCTGTTGTTACACTGGCTTTCATTTGATTCTGATAAAATTGTTTGAAATAACCATTGTTAGAAATATTTCTACATCCTTTATTAAAACTCCTGAAATCGCAAGCAGATGACAATTCCCCATCGGCACAGCTGGGCATTTTCTTGTGAATGCCAACAGCCTGGCCCGGGCTGTAGCCTCTCCTACAAATGTTGATCGCACGTTGGACTTGAACAGTATTATTCTTTCTCTTGCCAGTGAAACCTCATTCCTAGTCTACAGATCAATCTGTCTCATGACCCAGAGCCACATGAGTCCTTAAGAAATTTACATTTTTCAGGAAGTCTTGCCAAATTCTACATGGCTGGGAAGATCTTTTCCCTTAAACCGCATGGTAGTATGGACCCTTTTCCAACTCAATCAGCAGAAATAAAACACCTTGCCACAAATTACATTCCTTTCTTAAAGGCAGTTGGTTGTATTACTTGTGGTGTTGCATCACTTACTAGAACTACTTCTGAAAACAAATTTAAAAGGTATTTTAAAAAACAAAGGAATAATGCAACTGTGCCATAGGAGCATTGGGGATAATTCATCTGAGAAGCAGTTCTAATGAAATACTAAGTGAATTTTAGACTCCTCTTCTTACTTCTTGGTAGTTTAACATCATCCAGTGACAGTGCTGCTCTCCATCGCTTCACTGTATAATATGGAGCAGAGATGCTTGTTTATGCCTGGTCAGTCCCTTAAAGTGTGCCATTAGTTATTTATAGGTATTAAAAAATCATTGTTACTGTACAGGTAGATAGCTAGTTTCAATACACTGCTCAAGTCATTCGCAATACAAGAGTTGTTCAGCAGTCACGACCGCAAGCCCAGGGCCAGCCTCGAGCACGGGTGGACACTAGCAGTGGTGGTGCTGGAGCACCTCTCCAGTGCCTGCTGTGCAGCACCGACACTGCCTCGGCCCGGCCAGTCTATGGAGCAAACCAGGTCCAGCTCCCAGCCCTCATGTGTCCATGCCCAGGGCACCTTCAAGCCACATGCCGGATTGATACGGAGGTGATCTCTGAGCTGCTGTGCAACAAACAAGGTCAACTTCTGCCGATATTAAAAAAGGATTGGTTTAATCCAGCCTCTTGTTGCATTCACCTGCTCCTGCAACCCACATCCACCATATTCTAGTTTAAAACGGGTAATTCACTTTTCTTTTAAATATTTAATTTAAAAGAACAAGTTACGGTCTGGAACCATTTCTGCCAGCTGCCTGCACAGAGCAAGACCTTAACAAATCAAAATTACTAGCACAAAGTGGTGTCTGAGGACAGAAATCCCAGCCAGCAGGTCCTGTCCACACCTGTGTTTGTTTTCTCCTGTACACACAAACATGCCACCTGAGGGGGACGCACTTGGCTTGTCCCTCAGGTCCAGCACAGCTGCAAGGCAACCCAAAGCGTCCTCCTGACGTTCCTCCCAAGCCCCCTGCTGGAGTGTGCACCACAGGGCTGGGACACCGGCTCTGCTCTGCTCTGCTCGTGTGGGCTCTGCAGCTGGAAAAATAGGAGTAGCTTATACATCAGCTAAAAATTAATTATGAAACAGATTTACAGTTTTAGCTTTTCATAGGTGGGTAGCAATCTAATGTCCACGTTGCCACTGCCGACAAATCTTGACACTATACTAGGGTGACAAATGCTGCTTTGGCTTGAGCACTTGATTAGTCAGAATAAGGTCAGTTCTTCCAAAAGGTATACAGGGCATATACTGCTTTGGCTTAGAAGTAAACAATGACCATTACTAGCTGACCTCTGCTGTGATCTACAGAACTCTTAAAGAATTTTAATAGGGCGGCTTTTAAGTACAAAGGAGGTATTTTCAGTGGCATGTTTTGCTTTTGTTTGCTATTTGTAACCAAGAAGAACCAGCTTTTCTGCTTGTTGCTGGTATACTATCAACTTGCTCTGCAGCAGTATAATCAACTAACTTGCAAGAATATCCATGTTCATCACATAGCACAGATAGAAGACAGGCTGGGAAGAAATACAGAAAAAAAAGTAATCAGAATTTCTTTTCTCAGGGTTCTGTTTTTCTAGCAAGTGATAAGATGGTATATATTGCATTTTTTTTTTTCTGGATGAGGTTTTCAGGTGTAGGGTGCACTCATTAAATTTGACAGCTGTTTAAAGTTGTTCTTGAAGTTCACCTCTGCATTAGCTTTCAAAGATATTTTGCAACCCCCCCCCACCCCCCCCCCCCAAAAAAAAAGATAAATCAGCTTAAAGCTAATTTAATTAATTTCATGAGGGGGCTGCGGAGTGTAACTGCTTCTTAATGTACATGCACTGCATAGGATCTAGAAGAATTTGCTGTGGATTCTTTAAAACCTGTGTGCCAATTAGTTGTTTAACTTTGTTTTTGTGGTATTGAAGAACTCTTCAAACATCTGTGGTTT